CAGTAGTGTAACTAATTACTGTTGCCAGAAAGTAATAAGTAAAGTAACAATATTACCTTTGAAATGAGTAACTAGTAATGAGTAATACATTACATTCTTTGAGTAACTAGCCCACACTGCTTAAAATGAGCAAGACTGACCACTTTTTGTTGTAGTTTTAGGGATCTTCAAGCAAAGAGGTTCTAATGTTGTTTGTTATAATGATGTCTTACTGGATTTTCATTTCTTTTTATTTTACCTTTATTTTTTTTACTTGATTAATCTGTCACCAGAATAGCAATCTATTCTGTTGTTTTTTAATTTAATTAAACACTTATAGAATGGGTGTGAGTTCAGTTACAATTGTATAATTTATATAATTTGGCTCTTTCAGTCAATTATATCAAATCTATAGAGAATTCGTCGCTGAAAATTTGTAATGTGGCAGGCTAATTGTGTTGAATGTACAGTATATTTTTTTGCTTGTATTTGTGTACATAGTAAAATAAAGCTATTCAATTTATAAACGTCTTTGTTTGTATTCATTTAAATTAGTTAATTAAATTAATTAAAGGGGGCAACTAAAAGATAATAATAAACTTATGTTTTATGGATCCATATAGGGAACACGTCGGCCCTCCAATAACTCGGAACTACTATTGTTCGCATTTTGTACCGGTGGGACATTACGAATCGACGGACAAGGGTTGCACGAAAGTAAATAACGGTTGAATCGGGTTGTTTTTTATAGTCCGCTGAGCAAGTTACCTATTAATGTGTCATTAATTCAAAAATCGAGTTTATAGACATTTTCCTGTGTTTGCTGTTATAAGGTTCATTTTGAAAAACTATACAACGAGTCTCTGTGATGAGACCGAATGCATAAATCTGTTGAAACATCTGAGAGTACAAACCTTTCTGAAGAATGGAATAACTGTATAACATAAAGAAAGCTTACAGTCTGTTAAAATTATAAATCATGGATGAAGAACCAGAGAGAGCAAAACGCTGGGAAGGAGGATACGAACGAACATGGTGAGAAGTTGAGCTTTATGCTTACTTTTTAACTCGTGTGCGTGTTCAATTAAAAATATTATTTTCAATGTCTTTTTTTTTTTTTTTTTTTCTTCAGTTTCTATACCTTTTTTTCCCTGTAAAATGCTCTACATATTTATATAGTGCTAAAATATTGTCTTTTTATAGGTGTAATTAGTATTCTAATGTGCTTCCACTATCTATAAACCAACTCTTTTCACTCACATTTCACTCTTTTCACTCACAAATCGATGAATTGTATCCTATACAGTGGCTCAGGCCTCCATGCAATTCTGGGGGCATATTGATGAGTGAATCATGTAGTTGTGTGCAAGGAAAGGGACATTTTGTTCATTCAGTTGGACTTTAAGTTTTGGATGCTGAACACCGCTCATGCCTGGAAAAGTTGTGAGTTCTGTAAAATGTCCTTCATTTACTGTTCTTTTCTCCTTTTCCCAAAGGTACTGAACTGGTAATGGGACATGGGTATGTGTCTTTGTGTTAATATTAGTGTATGTGTGCTTTCTACTGTGTTATTCACTCTGCCCCCTTTCCAGGGGCGCCATAACGGGGGAGAAAGTTAGGTTGATTTCATGAAGCTGACATGTGCCTTTATGTGACACACGCTTTCATTTTGAGGTGTAAGTCACAATATGCACAAGTCACAATATTGTCTCAGCTTTTAAATGGTTAGTTTTATTATGAAATGTCATTAATGTGATGCCAGATTGCTTTTTACATTTCAAGCGGCAGCACGGAGCATGAGTGAACCAATCTCTTCCTCTTTACTACTAGTTAAGACTTAAAAAAAAAAAAAAAAAATGAAAGATACAGTACAACTTCCTAAA